GATATATCCAGGAAGTTTGGGACCAGCAACACCAATACGAATAATCGTCAAGAACACATCGGCACTCATAATATCAGGGACCCATCTTGTTCAACCTTGGAAATATAACATCCTGGATACTCGGAAACTCACGCCGTCGATTCATAAGTAACATCTTGGTCACCCTGGCCTGGACAGCTTTGGGCTTGCAGTCCAAGGGGCGGTGAATCTGGAGGAACTGATTATACAGGTCCCAGATCCTTAGATATAGGGAATCCTTCGCATAGGGGCTATACCTCCATGCAGTCACAGCCTCGTCCGAGTCTGCAAACTCCTGCAACTCGCTTCTCAGTTCATGGAACTTGTCAGAGTTGATGGCGGCACGCAGCATGCAAGCGCGGGCATGGACTTCCAGTCTCCGCGCCTCCACGCGGCGGCCTAAATCTCTGAGCTGATGCAAGGTCTCAGGAGGGAAGGCAAACCTCGGAGAGCAGGTGAGCCTCTGGAGAATGTTCTTTTCAGCGAGGCGAACTGATTTGGGGGGATCCCAGACCTGCGACACGTGGCTCACGACGGGCAAGGCGTAAATGTTGTATGCAGAGACGCTAAAAGATAAGCCTCCCCCATCTGCTTCACCTGCAGCGTCCTCCTCCCCAAGGTAGTAATCACTTGCTTCCAACTCTCCTTCCCCCCCCCCCCCCCCCCCCCCCTCGATGCCCAGGTACACGCCCAAATATTTCCCATTCTTGAGAATCTTAAATTGGTGAATGTTCACACACATTCTCTCAAGATCATCGACTACATATTCACGAAAGGCTGGTGAGGGAATCGCCAGCACGCACTTGGCCAGGTTCAAAATAAGGCCAGACGCTTTGCCACCGTCAGAGAGCACTCTCAATATCGTCGGGAGGCTCTGAAGCACGTCACAACAGCAAATGCCCATGTCGTCCGCGAAGGCACCCATCTCGATGGGCAAACTCGATCATCTTTTACGGATTCTCGTCAAAATCGGATTAATACACAGACGGAAAATCAATCCAGAAATGGGGCAACCTTATTTAACACCCCTTCTCACTGCAATATATACAGGCTCGCAACCATGGACACCAATACCCATACTCATATCCGAATATAACGACTTGATCGCCCGACAAACATTCCGAGGGAGATTAACACGCCGTAAGACAGCCCATATATATATATATATATATATATGTGAATGACACTGGGGAAAACATTTTTCACATCAAAAAGCGCCGAACCGATCCGAGGGGAAACGCCCATCATGGCCCACTTCAGGAACGCAGCGCCCAGGGAAAACACATTGTCCAGAAGCTGGCGGCCTTTGACGAAACCTTTCTGGCAAACCTCAGCGGTGTCCTTCGCAACCTCTGAGACCGCAAAGCCGACGCAGCTGGTGACTATCTTGTTGTCAGGAGTTCGATAATGGCAGGGGCCTCGTGCACGCTGGCGTACGAGCAGCGGTATCGATACCGCCTGGACAGTCCTTAGGCAGAAATACACTTCTCGCAACATTAAAATCAGGAGGGAGGCGCCCAGTCTGCATCATCCTCAAGTAGATTTCGCACAGGGAATGCTGAGCCGATTCACCAGCAGACTTCCAGGCGGCATAGGAGACTCCATCAGGCCCAGGGGCGGTGTTTTCTTCCATAGGAGAATATCCTGAAACTTGCTTTCAGGGAACACCCAAGGATACAAAGCTAAATCACTGCCATGGTAGTGGAACGGGTGGGAGGGGTTCGGGATGATCTCGGAACATCAGTCCTCAATGCTTTCATCACTAGCCTGGACATCTTGGAAGACTGACTCCCAGTGCAAAGCAATAATCTCGGCGCACCTCCGTCCATCAGAGTAATGCTGGCCATCAACGCCAGTGACCTGCTGCAAACAAATCCTTCGGCCACAAGACCGCCAGGCACGAGACATATCGCGAATACGCTGTACAGCAGCAGAGCTCTTGGCCTCGGCGATGTCTGCCTTAGACTTCTCGATGCTCGAACAGAGCGCCGCTTCGCGCTTGGAACATATATCTCTCATCAAACTCCCAAGGTGCAAATCGAAAGCCCCGCGGTCCACCCAAATACTCAACTCCAAATCATACAACTTCCCCAAGGCAGAATAACCAGAGATCGCCTTCTTGGCACTGTGGAAGCGCCCTCCACGAGCGGCCCGAGCCAATTTTAAGCAACAAGATACTCGTTCCTCAAGCGACTCGGCTCCTTGACTGGCGATATGGGCCTTAACGCGCCCAGCAGCGTAATTGAATACATCTTTGATGCCCTGCAACTGCTCGTCTAGGTTCTGGCCTAACTCCTCCGGCGCGATAAGGTCCTGGACCACTTCCTGAAACACGCGATGGTTGGCCACCCAAACAGGAATCGGGGTCGGACCCTGAGGTCTCCAAGGCTCCAGCGCCAGAAACACAGGGACGTGACCCGAGGGTTTGGTAAAATCGGAGGCAGGCCAGACGACGCCCGTTCTCGGACACAGGTCGAGGATGTCCTGAGTTGGCAGGGAACAGTAAAGGCGGTCTAACCGACCGTGCGACCACATTCCATCACGCAGAAGACGGTGAGCATCATCTCCCTGGGAAACTTCAGCCAAATACGGAAACACAGACGAGAACAACGAGGCCAGACGGCTGGCGCAGGGCCCATCAAAGCCCGCGGTTGCATTGACCCTGGACCCCCCGACCTCCAAGAAGTTAAAGTCCCCGAAAACGAAGCTCGTGACAACATCTGGCTTCCCGAGCACCCTCTTGATCTTCGAAAACATATCTGAGCTCATTGGTGCCCCACTCAGGATCGAGGTGGAGGTCGAGGAACTGCAAGTTGCCCTTCTCGGAGGACACGCGCAGTAGAGCGATGCGACCAGGAACCGCCGCCACAAATTCATACTGAGACCAACTGCGGAGAAACTCACGAGAGACAAGAAGGAGATTGCCACCTGCAGAAGGAGACTCACAGAAGCTGCCAAAAACTTGGTGTGTCCGAACTTCTCTCTGGAAGTGCGCGATATCACCCTCGCCACCGTGAGACTCCTGGATCCCGAGGACCTGGAACTTACTGAGCAAGGAACGGATATGAGACAACTTACAACGGAAGCAGGATTGGTTCGAATGGACAGAGCCGAGGACAGTCTGAATATTCCAACTGCAGATGCCAATAGAACAATCAGGAACATAAGGTTGCAAAGAGGGAGGAGGGGGAAAAGGATCTGGCACAGGCTTGCTACGCCGAGAGCGTGCTCGTGAATTATAAAACGTGTCAGAGCAGACACCATCAGAGCCCACGATGGCCTCTTTGCACGAGCAACGGGCATCCCTTGAGCGATGCACTGGGCTCTCCCTCTGCAAGAGACTATTAACGGGCAGCCATCCTCTGCTCGAGCGAAATGCATCCTGCTGAGGATGCTCGCTCTCCCACAGCAGAGGCGGCACGCAAGAGACGGCACGGCGCCCACGGAACTGCCTCACTGGTGGATCCTACAGGTAGCTCTCGACACGGCCCGCCTTGTGCGCGACGTTGAAGACCTGCTGAATCTGCTCTGCGGAGATTCCCCACAAGTTCAGCTCCTCCTTAACGGCATAGGACTCCTCCGCGGACTCACTTCTCTTCAGCAACTTCACGATAATGATTGCATCTTGCGGCGTGACTACCATCATCTCTCCTTTGAATCCGTTCACCCCGAGCTTACACTCATGCGTCCACGATTGATGACCACGAAGCAAGTCCAGAATCGGCTGGTAGATGCGGCTTATCGTACGTTGGCGGTCACATACATCGATTGGCAAGTCATGGCGCACCCTCAGTGCATGGGCTGAACCATTTCGAGGATCTATCCACTGAAGGGCGGATATGTTAACATTCTCACTGAACTGCCTGGCAGCGGCGAGCGTGCGAAATACAATCTTCTAATTCTGGGCCGCCGCATGAAATACTGGCCCAGCACCTTGGAGGAGATGAGGACGTGCATTCAACACTTGACGGAAGTGAGCCTCACGAACATTATTATGCACAGGTCGTGGAAAAGTGCCGACGAAGCGAACCAATGGATTAGTACCGACTTGCTGCCCACGACCTCGATTGCCATCTCCAGCACCACGACCACCACCCGTCGAGGTAGCAGAAGTGGATGCAGCCGACGACGCTCCAGAAGATGCTTGCGATGCTAACTGCGATACTGCTTGGGTCTGGGCGCCCAGCTGTTCGATCTGCGACTGGTGCAGCTGCAATGTGGACTGGGCCGTCTCAACACGCGAATCCAATGCAATGATCGATGCCTCATGGGTGGCCAGCTGGACTTGCAGCGCAGCTGTCGACGAGTCGATGGATTTGGTGATGTTCGCTTCAATGCCACCCATCATCGATCGTAACTCCGCCATGACCTCAGGAACAATGCCTCCATTGTATCCGCTGGATGCAGAGCCGCTGGAGATAGGTTGACTTGCACTATTGTGATCTTCGCTACGACGATCTTCACTCCGACGACCCACTGCACACCGATGGTTCGTGGACTGATCAGACATATCATCACTGCATGCACCACGGCTGCGACTGTGTGACCTGCGGCTCGGGGACCATCGGCTCTCAGACTCAGAGTGCGAACTGGACCGATGTCGCTGACCTCGACGACTTGGGCTACGTTCCTCTCGAGCATGGCGATGGTCGTCTCTCACAGCCTTCTTGACACCTTTGCGGCCCATTGCAGCAGACGGGCTGACAGGACGGATTGAGTACCCCAGAAGGGATTGGATGTCGCAAAATGCGTACAAAGGCACGGGCACTGAAGTTCCTGTGCCGCGAGGCATGCCCTCGCAAGAAGGTCGCCCTGAGCCGTCCCCTGGGCAGCGACCAAGCTCGAAGCACCAGGGAAACGTTTCGAACTTGAGCCAAAATGGCTACGGAAGAGGAGGAGGAGGAGGAGGAGGAGGAGAAGGAGGAGGAGGAGGAGGAGGAGGGGGGGGAAGGGGAGGAGGAGGAAGTTGAGAAGGTGGCGGCCTTTGTCCGAGCCCACGGCGAGCTTTCCCACCGCAGCGACAGCTGCCTGCGCGAGGCACCAGAGAGGGGGGGGGGTCGAAGGGAGCCCAGCCGAAGGAGGGAGGAACAGCGATGACGTCGCGGATGTCGTCGCCTTGTTCTTTGTTTGTTTTCATTATCTTGTGGTTCAGGAATTTCTTGTCGCCACGACGGCTGGACGCAGCTCGAAGGACTGGCTGGGATAGACCCCGTGAACTGTCCACGCGCTGCTTTTGAACGGACTCTGTTTGGGCTTCCCCCCTCTGCTGCCTCTCGGAAGAGGATGGGGATGTCTTTGGACTCCATTAACCTTTCCTCCGCCTCCTCCTCCTCCTCCTCCTCCTCCTCCTCCTCCTCCTCCTCCTCCTCCTCCTCCTCCTGTGTGATGGTCATGAACGGCTGGTGGCTACCATGCTGTGCTGCCCGCTATATGTACCGGCACGGTGGCACTGCAACGTGCTTGATGTTCCTATGCCCTAGACTTTTTCATGGGCCATGGTTCACTTCCCCCAGCAGAACTGTGCTAGTCAGTTCGCTGCGCCGTCTGGTGACTCTGGTTGAGTCTGAGTCGGCCAATCTGGATATGAGTGAGACGGCGAAGGAATAAGTGCACATGAGAAAATCAAAACATCAGTCAACATAAACGAATGTGGGTACGAGTTGCTGAATATCTGTGGGTCTGGGTGAGCTGAGTGAGTCTGAATGTGTGCGAGACTAAGCATGAATGATCAGTCACTCGTGACAGAAAGAGCGTCGATGCACTTGCGGCGGGGAAGCCTGAGCGCGAGAAGCAGGCCTGGCACTACTGACTGATAGTATTCACACCACACCTAGGGATTTCGGAAGCACTTGAAACACCCTCTTCCTCTTTCCCCTCCTCCATAGTATCCTCTCCCCCCTCTTCGCGCACTCCCTGAGAGGAGGACGAGGAACAGGATGATGAGGGACAGGCGGAGGAGGACCAGATTGACCCGAGGTGCATCAACGATGCTCCAATGTGCCTTTTCGTTCCAAGTCCCCTCATGATAAGTCACTGCGCTATTTCCTTCTCACTAGTAATACTGTGCAAGTCAACATCTGATTGTATAGAAATAAGAAATATAAATCGCAAACCCTGTTGTAAAAAACAAAACGCCCTCCATCCGTGCAGTTGCGGCGAAGGCTGACATAGTTTGCAGTACATGTCTTGTCACATGCTAGGATGACGTATCAAGTGGGAGCCCCATGTTCAAAAGGAGCTGCCCTCCGTTCTTGTGACTGCTCGGCGCTTGTAAGAGCGTGAACGAGTGTGCGCGGCCCTGAGACTACCGCCACATTTACAACATCAGCCACATTTCATTCGTGCAGCTGTTGCAGCTGTTAAGATTCAAGTTCCTAAGCGGTGGGGAAGGGAGTCTTCGGCAAAACGTCCAGCCCACACTACTAACATGTCTGTTGGTGCGGCGAGGAGGAGCTGCTTCTAAGGAAGATGGGCCGAGGAAGGAGAGGGAGAAGGGGAAGAAGGAGGAGGGAGGATGCCCCCTCCTTGACCGAGGCCCTCTCCAAAGTCCCCGGAGGCCCTCCCCCTTTCCCCCCACTCCACACGCAAGAAGGCAAACACGCTGAATTAACAGCCGGGATGCCGTTTCTCCTCCTCCTCCTCCTCCTCATCCTTCGCTTCTTTCTCCATCACGACCCATAGGGTCCAGAGTCCGAGGGGACACCCAGGGTAGGCAGTCGACGCCCGCGCGCTCCGTGCCGCGCCCAGGCGCGCTGGGCCGCTTTCACACCTCCTGCTCGCCCCGCAGCGGCGCCGCCGCCGCCTCCTCCACCTCTTCCTCTTCCCCAGCCTCTTCCGGTCCCTCATCGCGCTCTGCCTCCTCCTCCTCCTGCTCTTCCCCTCGCTCCTCCTCAGGCGCTCCCCGCCCTGGGGCTGCCCCGCCTTCTCCTCATCCTCCTCCTCCGCCTCCTCCACCTCCTCCTCCCCCCCTCCTCCTCCTCCTCCTCCTCCTCCTCCACCTCCTCCTTCTGCTCCTCCTCCTCCTCCTCCTCCTCCTCCTCCTCCTCGTCCTCCTCGTCCTCCTCGTCCTCCTCTTGGCGCCGACTCGGCCCGCTGGGCTGTCCCGCCGAGGCAGGAGCGGTTTGCCGCCCTGGGCGATGGTCCACGGCGGCCCTAAGAGCAAGCCAGGCAGCAGAGCGGTGCATGGGGTGTGTAGCGAAGATCGGCCCAGCCGCAGATCGACCACGCTGGGGGGCCGAAGATGGAGCTGGCAGCCGTCAGCTACAGCAGCTGCGCGCGCCGCAGTGCAAGCAGAGATCCCGGGAGCCGCGGTTGGCTGCGCACTTACCTTTAATACCTCCACGAGCCTGCGGGCAAACTGCCACTGACCCAGACCTCGGGAAGGTCGCGCGGCGAAGTTACCAGGGTTTCGATCAGGTTCCCGCAGTGGGCATGGTGCTTCGCAATCCGCCACACATGCCATCCAGCTGCCGCGGCCATCATAACCTCTCGCCGAGCCGTCGAGAACCGAGCCGGAACGCCAGGGAGGAGTCCCTCCGGGCACCCATAGCCTCGTCCAGCGCGCGCTGGAAGACAATGCAATCCTGGAGGACGTGGTGCATCGCGTCCTCCTCCCCATCGCACCCGAAGGGGACGCCCGGTCCGCGCCCTTGCCCTGCATCCGTCGTCCCGTGGGCCACGCGCGCAGCCAAGTCTTCAGAAGGGCGAGCCTCACCGATGGGGCGCGCCCCAGCAGGAGTTCCCGATGTCTCTGCCAATCCGCCGCGGGGAGCAGCGCACCGAGCGCAGGGAACCACCTCCCTGGGCACTCCTGGAACTTTCCCTGCAGGCCGTGCGGCATGAGTGGGCGCATCATCTGCATCGTGAGCGTTTTCTGGAGGCGGGGGTGGCCACGGGCACGCAGGAGGCGTGTCTCCGCAACCGTTCGGCGCAGCGCCGCCGCGCAGCTCCCCAGCTCTCGATGGCTAGAAAAAACCCGCCGCGGGCCTCGCGGAGGGGCTCGACAGGGGGCCTCTCGCAGCAGCTGCCGCAGTCCCTGCCGCCACGTGCGAAAGATGCGATGGGCAAGCACTCCTTGGCGGCGGTGTGGAGGATCCTTTCCATGCGGTGCCACTCGAGGAGGGTCGTCGTAGCCGTTCTGGCGAGTGCTGCAGCGGCAGTCACGAAGATTCTCGGCAGCGACGGGCCTCCCCAAGCATCTAGATGATGCCAATCGGCATGGCGGCAAGTCGTCGCCGGCATCCGGAGGAGCCGAGCGAAAATCCGGATCTCGGTGTCACGGGTCCGCCACGGCATCGGTAGTAGTTGGCTGACGTAGGAGGTTGTAAGGATCGCACGCGCCGTGTACAGGCGGACCTTGGTGTAGCTGTCGCCCCCAGTATGGGCGATCTCTCTCACTCGCTCCTGCCACTTGCAGAGAGGGCTGTTCCAATTCTCGTGGAGGGAGGCGCCGGGGCCGATGGTGAAGCCGAGGTGTACGGCGGAGCTCACTACCTTGAACGACCCCCGAAACGACTGCATCGCGCTCACCACCTCGTCCGTACACGGCTGGGCAAAGGGAATGGCGGCGAACTTGGCGGGCTTCAGGCGCAGATGCGCGAACGAGCCATCAAGCCGAAATGCTCGCCCACGTACCCTTCGCGCCGTCGTGTCCAAGGCCACCGCGCCGATGTCGTCCGCGCGGCACCGCGTTGTCCCACGCCTCGCCAGGTCGATCCCTGCCCAAAGATCCTACATGCAGGGGGCGCTCAGGAGGATGAACAGGTCACCACTGAGTGGGTAGCCTTGGAGGACTCCACTGCAAATCCAGAATTCGAAGGACACGGTGCTCCCCTCGTGGAGACACCACTCGCTCTATGGTGCAGCATGTGGATCGCGTTGATCAGACCTCGCGGCAGTTGCAGAGCCTCGAGGCACGTGAAGAGCCTCTCCCACCCCACAGCGCGAAGTCGAAGGTCAGGAGCATGCGTGTCGAAGTCGACGATGATCTGGGGAAGTTTCGCTTCCGCACGAAACCTCGCTGGTTTGCTGGGGCCACGCGAGCGACAACTTCCTGGAGCCGCCAGTGGATGACGCCGCAGACGATCTTGTTGCTCGTGAGCTTCAAGCTGAGGGGACGGGTGTCCCCAGCCGCCCTGCTGACGAGGTCTCCCTGGTCGTTGGCATCTAGCCTTTTGGGGGCATAAATGGTGGCACTCAGCTTAAAAGAGTCCCACATGGCCTCGTCGCTGCAGATCCACAGGCACGATCGCCAGAGCACGTCCAGCAGCCGTTGGTGGTCCCAAGCCGCGTAGGATAGACCATCCACTCCAGGGGCAGACGTTGGCAACCTCCGTGCGAATGCGGTGAAGTCCTCCCGTCGCACCTAGTCCACCGCTCCGACCAGGTCAGGCTTCGCGACACGTTCCAGGTACTGGGCCGCGCAGGGACCTGGCGGCGGCTTGGAAGCGAAGACGCCGCCCCAGAAGTCCGAGAGGGCGCCATGCATGCCGGCAGGGTCCGAGATGACGTGGTCGCTGCTCCGAATGCCCGACAAGATCTTCCTCGCGCGGAAGGGGGACCACAGCAAGGCGCGCCGCCGGGCAGACCGAAGCTGCCCTGCCAATCTCGCGCGCTTACGCGTGCGGGGCTCCTCCGCTGGCTCGTTCTCCAGCTGCTGCTCCTGCTCCTGCTCCTCCTCCTGCTGCTCCTCCTCCTCCTCCTCCTCCTCCTGCTCCTCCTTCTTCTCCTCCTCCTCGCCGAGGCACCGCGCGCCGCTGGCGGCCTGGCGTACCTTCGCGTCCTCGTCGCCCAGGCGCGAAGCCGCCGCCGCGGCGGCGGCGGGGTCGCCGCGGTCCGCCAGCTCGGCCAGGGCGGAGACCGACGTTGAGGAGCGACGTCGTCGCCACCGCCGGCGCCGCCGTCGACGTCGTCGCCCTGCCTTCTTGCTTCTCGTTGGTCTTCGTTGGGTTCTCGGCTTCTTTCCAGCCCTGGGGTGCGGTCCAGCAACTGCGACTCGCCCAGAAAGGGGTGCCCGGATCGTCCCGAGCGGCTGCCAGAGACCCGAGCCATGACCCGATAACCCACCCTGCCAGCGTCGGAGGCCGCCGTCGTCGGCATCGGAGGAAGAGGAGTAGGGAGGGGGGATGGGGAAGGGGGGGGGGGCGGCGAAGAAAGGACTGAGGGGAGGGAACCGGTGGCAGAAAAGGGGGGGAAGGACCGACGGACAAAAGCGGAGGCGCCGGAGGAGGGGGATGAAAGAGCAGATGAGGGAGAGGGGAGGAGAGGAGGGTGGAAATGGAGGACGAGAAAGAGGAAGGGTGGATGAGGATGGATTGATGCAAGTGCTCGGCAGACTGTCATTGCACGTTGAAGCCCAGAAGCTGGTACAACGCCTCGCCCTTCTACTTCTCCTGCTTCGACTTCTTGCTCTTCCTCCTCCTCCGGCTTGCTCTTCCTGCTCCTGCTGTTGCTGGTGCTGCTCGTCCTCCTCCTTCCCCTCCCCATCCCTACCCTCCCACCTGTAACCATCCATGCCCCCTTTCCACCCCTCTTCCTCCATCTTCTGCTCCTCCAGCTTCCTTCTCCCCTTCTCCCCCCTCCTCCTCCCACTACTCTTCCTCTCCCTCAATCCGCTGCTCGTTCTCCCCCTCCTCGTCGTCCCCGTCCTTCTCTTCCTCCATCCTTCCCCCTTCTCTCCTCCCTCCAGAGGGAGCTCCACCGAAGGTCCCAGTGGCGCAGTCCGCATGCGGTTCCTGCGCCCACTACAGCGCTTCGTGGCCCCAGAAGGAGCTCCACGGAAGGCAAAACCCACAACCGCGCGCGGTCTTCACAGCTGCTATGGGTGGGTTTTCGCCAGGCTAATCCCACCAGCCCTTTGGGCGTGAGTGGTTTAGGGAGCTCTCTCTGTTATCAACCCCCCTTCTTCCCCTTCGGGGAGGGGTTCACCCCTCCCCCTACCCCCTCCCCCTGGACCTGGAGAGGGGGTTCCGCGGGTCGTTGGAGGGGTCTTTTCCGACTCCTGGGAGGGCTAGAAAACGACGACCCTCACGAGGATTCTGGCCCCGACGGGGGGGGGGGAGATAGGCCCCTCTCCTCTTCTTTGAAGCCAAAATCATTGATTTTACTACGGTTTTGGCTCCATCTTGGTCTCCTGAGGGGGCCGCGCTCATCTTTCCTCATAGCAAAATCATTGTTTTTACGGAAGGTTTTGGGCTCATTTTGTCCTTCTCAGGGGGCAGCGCTCCTTTGCGCTTCAGAGGAGGTCGCAAGAGGCCCCAAGATGGCCCCAAGAGGCCCCCAGGAGCCTCCCAAGAGGCCTCCAAGAGGCCCCCAAGAGGCCCCCAAGAGGCCCCAAGAGGCCCCCAAGAGACCCCCAAGAGGCCCCCAAGAGGCCCCCAGAGGCCCCACGAGGTCTTCAAGAGGCCCCCTAGAGGCCCCCAAGAGGTCCCCAAGAGGCCCCCAAGAGCCCCAAGAGGCCCCCAAGAGGCCCCACGAGGAGATGCCCCCAAGATGTCCCCAAGAGGCCCCAAGAGGCGCCGAAGACGCCCTCAGAGGCCTCCGACCCACAGACATCTACTTCTACTTCTACTCCTACGACTACTACTACTACGACTTCGACTCCACTACTGCTACTACGATTACTACGTACCACGAGTACTACTACTACCAGTACTACTACTACTACTACTACTACTACTACTACTACTACTACTACTACTACTACTACTACTACTACTACTACTACTACTACTACTACTACTACTACTACTACTACTACTACTACTACTACTACTACTACTACTACTACTACTACTACTACTACTACTACTACTACTACTACTACTACTACTACTACTACTACTACTCCTACTCCTACTACCACCACCACTACTCCTACTGGTACTACTACTAGTACTACTACTAGTACTACTACTACTACTACTACTACTACTACTACTACTACTACTACTATTACTACTACTACTACTACGACTACTACTACTACTTCTCCTGCTACCACCGCTACCATTGTTACTACTAGTATTACACGACTACTTCTATGACGACGGCTACCGCTATACTGCTAACGCTACGGCTACTGGTAGTGCTACTGCTAGTGCTACTCCTCGTACTGCTTCTCGTACTACCACTACCACTACTCGAACTACTACTGCTACTACTACTACTTCTGCTACTACTACCACTACCACTACTACTACTACTACTACTACTACTACTACTACTACTACTACTACTACTACTACTACTACTACTACTACTACTACCACTACTACTACTACTACTTGTACGAGTACTACTACTGGTACTGTTACTGGTACTACGACGATTCCTACTTCGTCTATATCTAGAGCTTCTACATCTACTACACCTATACCTGCTACTACTACTATGACTACTACTACTACTACTACTACTACTACTACTACTACTACTGATACTGCTACTTCTCCTACTATGAAACATACTAATTCTACTACTACTAGAACTAATAATACTACTACTACTACTACTACTACTACTACTACTACTCCTACTGCTACTTACTATAGTACAATACAACACTACTATTACTACTACTACTACTACTACTACTATACTACTACTACTACTACTACTACTACTACTACTACTACTACTACTACTTACTACTACTACTACTACTACTACTACTACTACTACTACTACTACTACCACCACTACTACTCTAGCGAAGCATGCCGACCGTGGTGTGCTTCAGGCGTGTCTCCGCGTGCCCTCGCACATATCCCCTGTGTCTTCTTCCTCCTGCCTCTTCTTCTATCTTCCTACATCTATCTTGTTGAGGGAGCCGAAGAGGAGGAAGAGGAGGAGAGAAGGCGATGGGAGCCAAGACAGAAGGCGGTCCTCCTCGAGTCCTACACGTAACCGACTCTGACGACTCACACGACGGCGACCTCTCAGACGATGATGGCGGCGACGACGCCGACGACGGACGACGACCATGCTTACGATGACAACGACGACTTCGACGACGACGATTGAATGGACGACGGCGTCGACGATCCAGCGATCTTTCCCGTCCAGTTCTGCAGTGCGCACGCGGCACAAGTGACTACCCTGCTCAGGCTCGCAGCTCTGAGCTGCACCTGAAAGGCAGGGCCCATCAAGTCGGGCGCGGGCAGCAGGCGGCAGCTTAGGAGGGAGAGGTGGAAGAGGAGCAGAAGGGGAAACTCGCCTCCAAGATCGGTCCCCTCGAACAGATCTGAGGAATCACGGAACTCAGAGTGTGCACGTCCTGGACCAGAATGCAGGTGGTGTGAGTAGTTGGGGCCCCTCGCCCTGGTGCGAGTCGTTCGGGCCCCTCCTTGTGTGAGTCGTTCGGGCCCCTCGCCGAACGACTCACACATCGAGGAGGGCCCCGAACGACTCTGACCAGGAGGGGGGACCCGACCGACTCACACCAGGAAGAGAGCACCGAACGAATCCACTGCACCGTGGTAGTGGCCACACCCACGGATACAACTGCCTGATCTCCCAGTGTGGCACCGTAGCGATACCGCCCATTACTGATGCAGCGGCGTATCACAAGGTACTCCCAGTACTGGACGAGAGACCATACACCATCTCAGCCCACTGCCGGACACCCGAAGGAACCCAGCAATCACCAAGACTAAGAGGCAAGAACGGCGAGTACAGTAACCAGCACCATCACCTCAGCAGAATAACCAGCACCATTAGAGAGTATAGAAACCAGCACCAGATAACCCACGAAAAACAGCTCAGTTGAGGCAACATCCGATGTCCCGACTCGCTCTACCCAGAGTCATAGTGGTAAGTAGTGCACTCGACAGTAGTGCAATACAGAGTATACACCATCTGAGCCCAATGCCGTACGTGTTCCCCCAACGCAGTCATACGGGCGTCCAGAAACGCGTGGCTCTCTTGCCTAGTAGGTGCAGGACTGAAGCATCACTGAGTACAGAAACCCGCACTCTCACCAGAACAGGGTAACCAGCACCATCACAGAATACACTACTCAGCACCAGAGAACCCAAGTACGGGGTTCAGCCGAGTGGAGTAGAAGTACCACTAGCAAGCTGCCTCCTATAGTACAGCCCACCTGAAGCGCCACTGACAATGAGTAGAGGCAACTATGTTGTCGCACAGGCCTTCGAGCCTGGTCGACTCGGTCGCAGAGCAGGCTGCGGCGCTCAAGCGCTCAGGCAGCGCCGCAGCGAGAAATCTGGGCGATCGGTGCCACAATGGCTACGGAAAACCGCGAGGGAATCGCAACGTCACGGGGGAAGGGAGAAAAAACCCTCTCCTCTTCTTTGGAGACACACTCATTGATTTTACTACGATTTGGGACCCACTTTCGCCTTCTGAGGGGGCAGCGCTCATGAAAGCTCCCCTCGTCCTTCAAGACAACATCATTCCTTTCACGAGGGTTTTGGGCTCCATTTCCTCTTCTGACGGGAAGAGGCTCCAAGATGGTTTCACGAGGCCCCAAGGGGGCCCCCAAGAGGCCTCCAAGAGGCTCCAAAGATGCCCCGAAGAGCTCCCCAAGAGGCCCCGAGAGGCTCCCCCGAGGCACCCAAGACGCTCCTGGAAGCCCCTGGGGCCGCCAAGAGGCCCCCCAGACGCCCCAAACGCCCTCCAAGAGGCTCCCAAGAGGCCCGAAGAGGCTCCCCCAAGCCACCCAAGACGCTCCTAGAAGCCCCCGGGGCCGCCAAGAGGCCCCCAAGACGCTCCGAAAGGGGGCGGGGTGCCCGATCGCCTCACGCCACGAGGAGCCCGAACGACTCACACCAGGACGAGGGGCCCAAACGACTCACACCACGAAGAGCCCGAACGACTCAC